TAAGTGTGAAAAGTGGTCATAGGTCACTTTTTTCAGTGCTGTTGTAACTTCAACCAGTCACTAAACAAATAATTGTAAATTGAGGACTGAAGGAGGTTAGCACCCACCCCTCTCCTAGAAGAATGAAATATTTTAGGAAATATTAAAAAGGCAGAATATTATGTTTCCCTGGATGAGAAAAGGAAAAACATGTTTTTAAAGACAAAGCTACTGCCTGTAGCTCCCTGCCCCCCCCTTCAGCTCCAGGGTGGTGGGATTAAGACATGGCCCTCAGGACATGATAGGATTAGCCTTCTACCCATCTAGCAACAGAACTCACCACATAGCACCTGGGGAGATTGCATCACCCAAGCCTGGGACACAGACAGCCTACAAAGTTACCTAAGACCACCGCCCCCTGGGAGTCTGACAGCCAACGGGATACATTTCTTGTACAGGAACAGGAAGCTCCAAGGCGGGGCCCAAGAGAGGGTATAAAACTCAGGTTCTGTCAGCATCTCTTCCCTTTTTTTCTTCAAGATCTTCAAAGCATGTGATCCTCCTTTTCCCCCCAGGACCTCAAACCATGTGTTCCTGTCCACCATTAAAAACCATCTTTCCAAGGAGCCACCATGTTTCCAGTGGCTTTCTCCCCACTTGGGACTGAACCCAGATAGACATTTCTTCCAACAGGACTACCTGTATTTTTCTTGGTGAAAGGAGTGGGGCTGTGGCAGAGTCTACAGTCATCAAATGCAGATGTTTCCCAGTCTATATTTACTTCAGAATCCCTGGGTTCTTTATAGCTGGCCTGATCTATTTGACAGAAAATGTAATCTTTCTCTCTTCATCCTCACGCACAGATAATGCAAGCAAGTACATTAGGAAAATAAACAATTTAATACCATCTTATTTGATTTTTATCCCTCCTTTATTACTTTATAAATAACAGCACAGTGAACATACAGTACATAATATTCCTTCCTCTTCCTATTTTCCACACAGCAACACCAACCCTGTGAAGTGGGTTGGGTTGAGAATAAATGAGTGGCCTAAAGATATCCTGCCAGTTTTCCTGCCTAAAAATTCAATAATCATCTCTCAAAAATCCCTCTTAACAACTTTTTCATTCCTTCTCATCCCAAAGTCAGAGCTACATTTTTCCCTCACATTTATTTAAACAACATTGTGTTGTTGCTTTCTGTACTAGAATACAAGTATTTTGTAGGGCTTTGCACTAATTCTGCTTCAAAGGAGAAAAATAAAGCTGCTCATAACAGCTGTTACATGGGCAGGTGTGAATAAATTGATCTATATTCTGCACACCTATAATGTATTTGCTTTCCAACTAGAGACTTATTTGCTGGTGCCATCTACTAGCACAGCAACTCTTTAAAGAAGGCTATATCCTGTAGGAGAACAAGGAAGTCCAAAAAAGGCATATTATGGGTAAGCCCTAAAGTTTTGGGCCTTAAGCTGACAGTTTTCCCTATTTCAGGAAGTATCAATCATAGTGCTTGGTCTTTTGTTATGGAAGTGAGCAGTGGTGAAATTCAATTTTTTTTACTACCTGTTCTGTGGGCGTGGCATGGTGGGCGTGGTGTGGCTTGGTGGGTGTGGCAGGGGAAGGATACTGCAAAATCTCCATTCCCACCCCACTACTGGGGGAAGGATATTGCAAAATCTCCATTTCCACCCCACTCTGGGGCCAGCCAGGGGTGGTATTTGCTGATTCTCTGAACTACTCAAAATTTCCGCTACCGGTTCTCCAAAACGTGTCAGAATCTGCTGGATTTCACCCCTGGAAGTGAGATCAGATGAGTGATTAGAGGTGTATCTAGGCATGCATTTACTCCTTTCCCTTTGGCAGTGAGCAGTCTCTGTCATTGTCACTTTTCTCCTACCAGTAGTACTTGTCCTATTAACAGGTTTTTTTTAAAAAAAATCCTATTGCATTTTCAGCTTCTTTTCCCTATCATGGAAACCAATCTCTCATTACATAATCAGCTTTCCAACCCGATAAAAGAGAGGCAAGCAGAATTCCATAGATCTCTGGATTCATATTTTTTGGAGGAAAGATATCTATGCAACGCTATAGACACATTGAAAATGGCATCACAATAGCAGCATTCAGCCTCATTATTCCTCATTGCACCATATATAAAACAATGAGAAATTAATTGTTGTTGCCAGTCTCACTATATTTGTCAATCCAAACACTTTCCTTCTAAAGTAATTGACCCTGTTGCTGGCAGCAGGCTTCAGTTATCTGCTTCTGTAAGATATAGTCTGGCATACTATCATTGTGTGGACTATGTCGTCTTCTCTGAACTAGTTTTTGCCTTGGTATCTCTCCCGATTTCTTTATATTGGAATATTGTTGAAGCACAGACAATGTCATTTTTGATAGACATGCGCTTGTGATTCGGAACTTCCCTTTACATTATTTTAAATCAAGGGTTGCACAAACATGTCATGTGAGAAAAGGAACAATCAGTTTATGGAAACTAAAAAAAATCCCCACAATTGTGCAATGACCCATTCTTGCTTGTGCTGCAGTTCCTAATTCATGATTGTCCACTAGCTAGCTTGATGACATTAACCAACGAGAAAATCAACCGGTATGCCTATAAAGACTGGGCATCTTGGTATATCAAGTAATTACTGTAGAAGCAGATCCAATGTTAATAATATGGACAGCAAACTCTACACCAACATTATTTGTGCAGACCCAAGGAAAGGTGGACAGAGAGGAAATGAGATTCAAGATGAAGTGATTAACCATGTGTAAATACAACTTCTAGATCAAAAACATAAAATGGTAGATAAGAAATTTATATCCAGGCTATTTAAAGATTTAGAAATAACACAATTTTGCTCGATTTTCCAATTGCAGCCTTTATATGTCTTCCCTTTCCCACTCATCTCTCTCTCTTCTGAAGGAAAATCTCTATCAACCTTGTGCATGTATGTATTTTTGGAAGGGAAATCAACTGGAGCTACTGATAGTTTTCTCTCCATAATTGCTATTTTTGAAAAAAGGGTGATTTTGGAATGTCACATATTTTAAAGAAAGGGAAGAACTTCTTCTACTGCAACTTCACCTGATATTTCGTTCCTTCAGCATAGGAATTAATCTTAATTAAACTTAACCTTAAACAAATAAACAAACAAAAAAGCTTGGTAGAAATGGAAACTTTTAGTAGTAATTTTATGGGGGCAGAGCATTTAAGGAGGGATTGGTATACATAGAGAGAAGAGGTTCGACCCTTCCATTTATAGCTTCCTCCCTTGAAAATTTATTCTTGAGTTGGTAGTTAAAGTAGGGCTCCTAGAAATCAATGGATGTCAGCAAAGATAATTTTGGTATATCTTTGGTATCATCTAGTGCAGGGGTCAGCAACCTGTGGCTCTGGAGCCGCATGTGGATCTTTCATCCCTCTGCGGCTCCCTGTTGCTGGTCAGCTCCACAATTGATAGGGCTTTTGGTTAGGACAGGTAGAGGAAAAAGGATGTTGTGCTAGGAGGAGACTCTATGGTGGGGGAACTAGACTTCTGGTTAGCAGAGGAAAAAGGACGCTGCGCTAGGAGGAACTATGATGTGGGAACCGGACTTCCAGTCGGCTCCAGAATTAAATGGGGGCTTCTGGTTAGGACCTTTGTGGCTCTTTTGAGTGTTTAAGGTTGCCGACCCCTGATCTAATGATTGTCCAGATTTCTGGAACCCTAGTCTGCTAGCTCTAAATTAGGCTTTGAAAAATTAGCTTTGTGCCCACAAACTAGCCAACAAATTTGGCTAGTATAAACTGAGCACTGAGCCTTTTAACTAGCTTCCTGTTTAGGTATCATGTTATCATTATGATATATAAACCCAACTGATGCCAACAAAGTTTGTTTTGTGTAAGTCTAATTGTGACAGCAGGTAATATAGCATATATAAAGAGAAGAAAGGGTGAATCCTTAATTGTAATTTCCCATCCATATAGATCATAATTAGGTAGCTGATGGAAGAAAGGGAGTTATGTTAATATTAATAGAAACTGTTGGTAAGACATTAAAGAAATATTTGAGACTGAGGCAATATGTAAATATATATATATATATTGATGTTTAGCAATAGCTTTGGAAATTGTAATCTAAAATTGAAAGAAACAAAACCAATAGGATGTCTTGAGAACTGTTACATAAGTATAATTGGGGTGGGGCACCAATGTACTTTTAGATGTTGATAAATCTCAGCTCTCAGCATTTTTCACTCTTGTCCATGCATGTAGTTTAATGATATTCAGAGCACACATACGTTAGAAGTTCTTAAGAAGTGGTCTGAAAATAAAAACACTTAGCATCCTCTTTCTCCTCAGATTAAGTACCACTGTTCAGTTACTCCAGAATCATATCAATGTTTCTTGAACTCTTTTTTAAAGACACTTTAAAAAATTATGGAGGATTGCAAGAGATTTTGTTTGTGTGGGTAATATTTATATTGACCATACTAACATTGGTGCATTCACTGTTGCTTCTCACCAGTTTGACAGGATTTTAATACTGTACTACTTTTCAACATAAACCAGCAAATAATTTTGATTTTTGCAGATCTCCGAGTCTTGGGGGACCCCCAGGGGTCCCAGGATAACACTTTTAAGGAATTCTGCTCCAGAGAGAGTTACTCCTTAGGCAAACTGGAGGTGTATCCCAAAACAAAGGTAAGCAAGTTCCTGAAGACCTACCATTTTGAACCCCAAGTTACACTTGGTGTTAACCCCGATTCATTGTTTGTGATTCAGCGTGTTTTACCAGTGTCTCGGCCACTTCCACAGGGTTCAGTTTATCCAGTCGAGTTAAAAGGCCGGTCATATTTTCTCAGGCAGTAGCATCACAGTCATCCCGGAGCTGCTAATGGGTTAGCTCGTTGGGAATTCTCTTTCCGCAAAAATAAAGTCCCAGCGGACGAAGGAGGAGGGAGGCCGGCCGGAGTGGGGGGGTGTTAAGACAAGGAAACGAAAGCAAAAAAGCAGCCCGTTTCTTGGCCGGAGCATCTGGCGAGGGGAGGAAGCCGCGGTCTGTTTACTTCGCAACATTGCACAACGTCCCAGAGCCATGTCAGCTAAGGGTGGAGGGGAGGCGTTTTCATGAGCTGCTTGGGAAGCGGCGACGGCTCCTCCGAGTTCCGCTTTGAGGCCGCCCCGAGGGCAGGTGGGTGTTGCTGTGCTGACAGATCAAGTCGCCGAAGTGCTCCTGCTAGCTTTCTACCGCGGAAGAAAAAAAAAAAAGAAAAAGAAAAAGCCAGCTTAAGTTTCTCGGAGAGGCGAGAAAGCAACCGGCTGCCGCTGATGAAGAAGCGCCCGCCTTCATCCCGACGGGTTTAGGATCCCTTGCTTGAGCAGGGGGCTGGACTAGAAGACCTCCAAGGCCCCTTCCAGTTCGGATTCTGATTCTAGGCGGAGAGGTCGGAGCTTAGAAGAACGGGGCGGGGACGGGAGGGCGGCTGCCTGGCCCACCAAGAAGGACTTCGCCTCCGCCACCTGAAGCGGTCGGTGGGAGGGAAAAGCGCGTGGGTGGGTGCGGGGCCCGGAGGCACGTGCGCGGGGGAGAAAGCGAGAGCTCCGCGGCTTCGACCGCCCTCTGGGAGGAAGCCCCCCCCCCCACGGCCGAAAAGAGCCGTTTCTCTTCTTCCTCTTCTGGAAGGGACGCCTCGGGGCGGTTTCGTCCTGCCCCCCCCTCTTCCTCCCCCTCCTCCTCCCCCGGCATCCGAGTTAAAAGTTTTGTGACTTCAGGCGCTTTTATGACTTCAGCCACTTGGAGGATCTTAGCAACCCCTATGAGCTGGCGCGGCCTCTCCGCCGTCAGGCCTGGTGGCGGGGAAAGGCAGCCGTTAATCCCGCGGGGTGGGCGCTGGAGTGGCAGGATGTTCTGCTTGGCGCAAGGCGCGGCCTTCATCCCCACGCTCCTGGTCTCCTGGTCGTCGGCCGCCTTCATCCTCTCCTATGCCATCGCCGTGCTCAGCGGCCATGTGGAGCCGCTGTTCCCGTACATCAGGTGAGTAGGAGGAGAAAGAGAACAGCGCCCCCTCTCGGCCGCGCAGGAAAGGCCTTGCTAGATGGGGCAACGCAGGGCGGAAAGACTGAACTGTGGTCGGTGTTTAAATCCATCAAACTCAAATAGGGGAGTAATAGTTTTTCCTTACTCTCTCTTTTTTTATATAAAAATTTGTAGTTTTATTAGAACACATATTAGGCATTTACACAACATACAAATAACTTATCATATTTAAGCATTGTTTCATAGTGGGCTTCCAGTTATTACTTTATTCTTCTTCCCCTTTATCTTAATCTTTTACTCTGTCTTCTTCCCCTCCTTTTCCTTTCCCCCCTTTTTCCCCTATAGAGAACTATACATTTTAATTTTATTTATTTATTTATTTATTTTATTATTTATTAGTTCGATTTATATATGCCGCCCTTCTCCAGAGACTCAGGGCGGTTTACAATGCATTAAGCAATAGCCTTCATACTTTTGTATATACCTGCTTAGTAGGGCTTTTTGGGCCCCCCTAAGCGGTGTTCTATTTTATACAAAGTCAGCTTATTGCCCCCACAAACTGAGTCCTCATTTTACCTACCTCAAAAGGATGGAAGGCTGAGTCAACCTTGAGCCTGGTGAGAATTGAACTGGCAGTAATTGCAGGCAGCTGGCAGCTAAGTACTACTTTAACAGCAGCAGTTTAGTCCACTGCGCCACCAGCTCTTAAAACTATCTCTTTACTATTATACATTTCTACCTTCATATTATATACATTTTTATTCCACTCCACACATTTGATACATATCTATTTTGTACTTCTATTTTTCTCTTCTGATAGTTATTGTTCTTTATTGTTAGTCTTAAACCAATTATGCCATTTATTCCATACTCTATAATATTCTGTCTCTTCTTTTTCTTTAGTTTCTTTTGTCAATCTGTCCATCTCAGCGCATTCTAAGATCTTATCTATTAGTTTTCCCTACTCTCAGTTGAGAGCATCTTGACGCGGTTGCCCCAAATGGGGCAGAAGTATGGTAGGTCACCTGTCCTGTTTTGGGAAAAGCGGCCCGGCGTGAAGGCCTCCCAGGCCTCTCCGTGACTCCTAACTCTGTACAACTGCATGACTCCTAACTCTCTACAACTCGAACTTCTGGATCTGTACTTTTCTGCATTTCACCTTAAGGGCAGTTAGGTTAATTCATTCCACTGATTCTGTAATGTGAGCTAAAAAAAGGAAGATAAGGTTCCGGGGAGGTTTTGTGAGGCATCGGGATGCTTTCCTGTAGCCCCACAAAAGCAAAGGCAGGATGCTGCTTTTCTGATTTCTACTGATTTTAAAACAACAACAACAACAAAACCCTCACACAGAGTTGGAGCAGGTGGTGCTGTTATGTGTGCCTCCTCAGATACTTCTGCAAATGAACTTTAAAAAAAAAACTAATCTAGTGCTTGTAACTTGTAGAAAGTCTAAAACTTGGAACCTTAAGGAAAGAAGGACATGCAAAGCATGGCTTTGGGAATTCTTTCCAAATGCTTTAAAACAGTTTAACTCTGGGTCTCATGACTGAGAAGGAAGAAGGAGCAGGGTTTAGAATGGAACAGTACTTTTATTGTGAGCTGCTAGTCAACTTGTCCAATAGAAGTACAATGGAAGATAACCCCCATCTAGATCTGACCCATTTTTATACCATTTTTTTTTACTTTGCCAGCTTTTCCTAACATATGGAGATTAGTCTGTTCAGTTTTCAGAGAGTTATCCTACATAGTCAGATACAGTCCCAAGTCCCAACATAATTTCCTTAAATCATTCTTTTGGGCTGGAAACAGACAGATATATAATGACAGGGCTGAGTGAAAATCCTTTCGAAAGTGCTAATTAAGATCTGATTATTTTAGGATAATTCCTAACAACTGAACTTGAAATTCGGATAGTTATAGCCCCAATATATCTGAACAACATCAGGATTAATCCTTGCCCTCCTTTCTTTTTCCGGGTTTGAATCCGGGAACACATTCCAAGTGCAATCCAAACTGATAACAGCTTATTTAATGATTCCATTCTGCTCTTTGTATATATATTGGAGTTGAGAGGCCTTTCTTTCTAAAGTTCAAAGATACAATACTAAGTATGTGTTCTAGGAGTAAGCCAAAGTGATTTCAATGCAGTAGTGAGTCTCTATTATGTATAATTGAAATTACATTTAATTTTCATTTGATTAGTTTTCTCAAACAACTAGAAAGATAGCCTAATTTAACAGAAATATACTCAGTATGAACACTATCTTTTATTACATCAGGTATATCATGCAGGATCCAATCTGAGTCTGTTACCGGGACCAGAGGTTTGTTCTTTCAATCTTTCAGACTCATGTTGGAACCAATCCCCAGGGAACTTCTCAATCGCCAGGATGTGTGTTCTATGTGTTGTATGTATATATGGTAGTGGCTGTGGCTTTTAGTTGTTTAGTTGCCTTATTGATGGAGTATTAAGCCATTGATTGTCGTTTCCTTGTACTGCTGGGCCCTTGGCTCTTAAGTATCTGGTAAGCTGGTGGTAAATCAGCACTCTTGTTTGAAGCCTGGGAAGTGCTCCCCTTATCAGTCAACAGTGCACATATCCGGGAGATTGAGAAGTTCCGTGTGGATGGGTGACTGGTCCCGGTAACCAAGTCAGATTGGATCCTGCAACATTATCCTGGAACACCTATATTTGCCTTCATTCACGTATATCATGTCTGGACACCACTACAGGATAGTAAAACAATACAGAAAAAACAGCTCTTTGCTGCCATCTAGTAGTTACTCAAGTCTTGTTCTTTCTCTCTGTTCGTGTTAGTTACAATGGCTGTTTACACTGTAAAAACTACCTTGAGTTTTTCCCAACTAAAGACATTAAGCAGCATCTATGGTGGGTGGATAAAGGAGTGTTTTGTCTTTTGCAGTGGCTGTTTTTGCTAAGGGAATTAAACCTATCAAAATGTAGAATTATAGCAGAAGGAAAAAGTATTTGCATATGCTTTTAGTGGTTGTTAGTTGCTCCTATTCTGCTGACAGTAATAAGTTTAAAGGAAAAACAAAACACAAACCCTTTCTGCATATAGTTGCAGCAAACTCCCTTTTCTAAGAATTTGCGTTATTTATAATATTTGGTCCAAAGTGATTAAGATACATGAGAATATTTGTAGCTCAAGATTGAGGTGAGGGATCCTTGGTGCTCTCTGAGCTTGGTGGTTTTCATTAACTCAAACTAGGTAACATTATTAGTGCTAATAGGAAATGGCATTTGCTCTAATTTTATATTCTAGTGGTTTGCCCTTTCAGTACTGGTGGGATGGTCTTCGTGATTCTTTGGTTGAGCTATCACAAAGGTGCTTTTTCAAAAGGCAACTGGACTTTGTTTTTCCTTGAAGATGTTTCGGTTCTCATCCAAGAAGCTGCTTCAGTTCAGAAGATGAGAAGTGAAACATCTTCAAGGAAAAACAAAGCCCAGTTGCCTTTTGAAAAAGCACCTTTGGGACAACCATGACCTGGATGACTGAGAATCTCCATATACACTTTGGTTGAGCTGTTTATTGTTACCTTGCTTGGCAGTTCTTTGATTGGGATATTGTTTGCTTCTTGATTGTTGGTCTAATGTTAATCTGGGTGTTGATTGCTGATACTGAGGTGTTCTGGCTTTTTGCTCCCCTTTTGGCTTGTTGATTGTCTTTTTTGAATGGCTAATGTCAACTCTTAGAGGTCACATTCGTAGAAATTGATCTGAGAAAGACAGGTGTCAATGTCCTCCATCTTAAAATCACATCTCGTCAACTCTGCAGTAAAAACAGATTCTGTATGTGCCAGAGCCAAGATTAATTGAGACCAGTGATGCAGAATAAAAGTATATTTTTCCTTCATGACTGATTTGCATTTTTAACCATTAGTACTGAAATTAATAACATGTATTTAATAATATTTAAATTTTAATAACTTTTAATAACATTTCTTCTAAATCTAATAAAAATGAATGACATTGAACAATTTTAATTATTTGCAATGCACTTGTAACATTAAGTGTTTCAGAAAAAATTCCAATTGTACTTTGATCAGAGGTGCAGCAGATTCCATTCTCATCTTACATAGAGCTCTTAAAGGTTTTGAAGTGATCACAGTTCAGTATAGTATTTAGGTGGTATCAGTCTTTAGTTGCAAAAATACTTCAAATTTGTCGAGTGTTTCCCTTGGAGCTTTGGTTCTCAAAGCTTATTTCTAACTAAATAGTGAGTATTTTTGAAAGTTACATGAATAAAATGAATATTTCATTGCCATAAATATTGAGGGAATTCAACTGATGGTTAGCAGAGGCCGATTTTCTATATTTCTGTTTGAGATCAAACTACATGTGACAGGAAAATTGGGTGTATTTTACTTCAGAGCAGTCACGGAATGGTTCACGCTAAATGAATTAGCTATGCTTTGTTTTTGGGGGGTATGGAAAGAATGACAGAATTATTGGCATGTATTATTATATTTGGGAAATAACACAGGATGAGAGCCTTGGTAGTACAGGGGTTTAAGGCACCCTGTTATTAAGCTGGTTATTAAGACCAGCTGCCTGCAATTACTGCAGGGTTCGAATCTCGCCAAGGCTCAAGGTTGACTCAGCCTTCCATCCTTTCTAAGGTAGGTGAAATGAGGACCCAGTTTGTGGGGGCAATAAGCTGACTTTGTATAAATATACAAAAGGATGAAGGCTATTGCTGAGCACATTGTAAGCCACCCTGAGTCTTCGGAGGAGGGCGGAATATAAATCAAATTAAAAAAAAAAAGATATCTGTTGGTTTTTACAAAAAAAAATATTAATAGGTATAACTGAGATTTTTAACATTAGATATATGTTCATGGTAAGTCTAATTTCTAACAAATGGAATTAAATGCTATGAGAATCACATAGAAATGAAAAAATAGATGAACATATTTCCTGGGATTTGCTTCATGTACTTGGGACTGAATATGTAATGCCATACCCTGTTTCCCCTAAAATAAGACTCAACCAGAAAATAAGCCCTACTATGATTTTTCAGGATGCTCGCCTACCCCAAAAATAAGCTCCAGTTAAGATTGTCAGCCAGACAGATGCATTTATTAACATATTTTCCCCCAAATAAGACCTTACTGGAAAATAAGCCCTAATGCATCTTTTGGAGCAAAAATTAATACAAGACCCAGTCTTATTTTTGGAGAAACCTGGTACATAGAGTGGGAACTGTAAACCAAGTGCCAAGTGGGTATTTGGCATGCTAATTTTGGTATCGCCCTTGTTAGCTCAGAAATTCAGGAGATGGAATTAAAGCCATCTCTTGGACCATTAACTGTGTCCAACAGTATATTGTAAGCTGCCCAGAGTCACTTGATTGAGTGGGGTGGCTGTAGAAATTGAATGAATGAATGAATGAAATGAAATAAAGTAAAATATTGCTAGTCCACTCATTTAAATAATCTCATTCATATTTCAGGAGTGGAACCTATTGAGTTATCATTTTTAATGATCCACCCATTTTGAAAAAATAACAGGACTTATTTTTGTCAGTTTTTAATACTTAAAATTACAAATATATTAATGTACTCCAACGTTTCAAATGCAAAATAAGCCCTGCCCAAGTGTGTACCAGAACAGCCTTTCTAGGAAATTAGATCAATTGATAAAATTAAATATCCATCCAAGTACATATGCATAGAATCAAATTCAATCTTAGGCCTGCATTTCAGATGATGAATGAGAATTATTATGAATTACAAGCGTCGAGGTTATTAAGCACTTATATTTTGAGACATTTGTCACAAATGATCATAGAAATTATGCCTTTCTCTACGTTATATAATTATCAAATTAATTAGATAGGAGTATGTAGTTTCCAGGGGTCAATTTTGATTTGAGAAAGATCTTACTGTAAATATATTATTTGTATATTAACTGTTGTCATTTTTATCATTTGTGCTAGTGATACAGGAGCAAAACCTCCAGAAAGTGGTATCTTTGGATTTATGATTAATGTTTCCGCATTCTTAGGTATGTAGCTATTTATGCTTATTTGTTAAATTATATTTAAGAGTTGTAATGATTAAATATTTCTAACAATGCTGTCTCCAGATGGATGTGGCACAAGCACCTGGATTTATAGTTAAACTAATTCATTTATACATAATACTTTACAAATGTCATGCAATATATTGACCTGGAGTAAAGTAAACTTTCTGTATTCCATAATCATAGTAACTCAAGAAGAAGTAGTAGAGAGCGTAGGTTAAAAACAAGAACTTTTATAGAAATGAGTTCAAACAGCTGTGTACTTTCAAGCTTAGGAAGATGCATTAAACTTCTTAGGAAGAGGTATAAAACGTAAATAACTCATGGCGATAACAAAGTCACATATTCATACAGTAACTGCATAGAATTTGGAGTGTTTTCAATCGAAGTGTTTCATTTGAAATACTTTGTCAAAGGTGCTGTATAGGTAGTCCATTTTACTTCCTTCGTACAGGAGGATTGCAAATGGAAGACAACATCTGTTTTATCCTTACCAGTTATGTGCACGAGGAAGGCTGAGTTGCAATGTACCGTATTTTCCGGCGTATAAGATAACTTTTTAACACATGAAAATCTTCTCAAAAGTCGGGTGTCGTCTTATATGCCGGGTGTCGTTCTGTAACCAGGCAGACCAGCCTGAAAGGCTCTGACGAGCCTTAAATGGCTCTGGCGATCCCAGCTCTGACGATCCCAGCTGAGTTCCCTGCAACTCAGCTGGGATGGCCAGAGCCATGTAAAAAAGTTTTCCCCCTCCAGCTTGCTTACCTCAGCTGCTAGTCGCAACGCTTGCCTTGCTTCGCTTGCCTGAATCTATTCCATCAGGAAGCAACTCCCCGCCTGCAATCAAGCAAGCAGGGAGTTGTGGACTTCAACTCCCAGAATTCCTCAGCCAGCAAACCAAAGCTGGCTGAGGAATTCTGGGAGTTGAAGTCTACAAGTCTTAAAGTTGCCAAGGTTGGAGACCCCTGTTCAATTGGGTAAGTTTTTTTCCCCTTTGGGAGCTTTAAAAAAAATAGTCAATTGGGGTTTTTTTATTTGTTCTTTTTTAGACCTAGCCATTTAAAGTTTAGGAAGTTTTAAATTTAGCTTTCATATAAAAATAAAAATAAAATAAAATAAAATAATATTTGTGCAGCTTTCTGAGATTTAGTGTGTTTCTGTAGTGTTTCACTCTAACTACACAAACACACAAAATCTCACAAAGCTGTATGTGGAATTTTGTGTGTGTAAAGTATGAAAGTTGGTTTTTTGGACTTTTTGTGGCTGTGTGAGGTTCCTGCTTGTTGCAGGGGCCATTTTGGGTCTAGCACAGCTGCTTTTACATTGTAGGTGAGCCAGTTGATGTTTTTTAATTTTTATTTGGTGTGCATTAGAAGAGGGGTAGTCTTATATGGCGAGTATAGCCCAAACCCTATATTTTAACAGGAAAAGTTGGGGGTTGTCTTATACGCCCAGTCGTCTGATACACCGGAAAATACGGTAAATGCCTCATCTAAAAAACACCCTTGCAAATGGAACATATGGAGTTTGCATGACTTTTATATGGATTCTTTTCTGTGGTTAACTAAGAAAAAGATATACAAGTAGTCCTCAACTTACAATAGTTCATTTAGTGACCGTTCAAATTTACAACGGCACTGAAAAATTGGATTTATGACCATTTTTCACACTTATGACCGTTGCAGCATCCCCATGGTCATGTGATTTACATTTGGATGCCTGACAACTGACTCATGTTTATGTTGGTTGCCGTGTCCCAGAGTCCTATGATCCCCTTTTGCGACCTTCTGAGAAGCAAAGTCAATGGGGAAACCAGATTCACTTAAAAACCTTGTTACTAATTTAAGAATGCAGTGATACACTTAACAAATGTGGTAAGAAAATTCGTAAAATAGGGGAAAACTCACTTAACAAATTTCTCACTTAGCAACATAAATTTTGGGCTCAATTATGGTCGTAAGTTGAGGACTACCTATATTTGAAAATCATCTAATAAATCTTGACTGTGAATCATGGTTGTATATCTTGACTATCCAATTGATTAATCACAGGCATTCTTGCCCTAAATATACAAAATGGAATAAATTAGTATGCCCTATAATGTATATCTAGGATTATTCACTGTTAAACAATTTCATACATGTTTTTAAAGTAGCATTTTGTAGAAAGAGTGCAGAGAAGAAAAACAAAGATAATTAGGGGACTGGAGGCTAAAACATATAAAGAACTGTTGCTGGAATTGGGTGTGTCTAGTTTAATGAAAAGAAGAATAGGGGTGACATGATGGCAGTGTTCCTATATCTCAGGGGCTGTCATAAAGAAGAGGGAGTCAAGCTATTCTCCAAAGCACCTGAGGGCAGGACAAGAAGCAATGGATAGAAACTAATCAAGGAGAGAAGCAACCTAGAACTAAGAAGAAATTTCCTGACAGTTAGAACAATTATCCAGTAGAACAACTTGCCTCCAGAAGTTGTGAATTCTCCAACACTGAAAGTTTTTAAGAAGAGATTGGATAACCATTTGTCTGCAATGGTATAGGGTTTCCTGCGTGAGCAGGGGGTTGGACTAGAAGACCTCCAATGTCCCTTCCAACTCTTGTTATTTTATTCTGTTCTATTCTAAGCATAATTTTAATTGTAATATTCATAGGATAGGCCTAATATCAGCTCAAGCAAACAGCTCATGTTGCTTCTGCCTGCTCTTGTGACATGTTATGTTGCTTGATCTGAATTATGTTGCATTTGTGTAGTATTTACATTCAGGTAAACTATTTTAGTACTTCCTATGTGTTATGTCTTAGAAAAGCACATGATTGGTTCTAAATAAGTGACACCAAGTCAGGATAGAATATATCACCACAGTTCTGTATTATCTTCCTTTGTTATTTTAGCCCATTTGTTTCTGGACTATGCTCTAAATCTGTTCTTATTTTAAAGGCCTGAGTGTTTTATGAGAGGATACTTAAGGACTGCTTTTTCCACTGCAGTATATTTCCTTCTGCATATTCAATTGGGATCTCTGCTACCTCTTCTTCTTGATCCATGTTTTGCTCTCTGAAACTAGATGGTATTTGTTTTTAAATCATTATTTTATTTTTCAGTCATGTCACTTTCGTTTACAGAGAAAAATATCCAATAAAGCAAAAATAACAAAACAGTCATCACAAAATTAAATATTTTAAAATGGGAGCACATAAACAATTCTGCAGTACTGTATTATCTGTCTAAATTAGCTAAATTAAAATGGAAAAACTCAATTTTAACTTGCTTCTGAAAGGTTGAATTGGAGCAATCTAATCTGTAGTAGTAGAAATCTAATCTGTAGTGGTAAACTATTTCACAAGAGCTCTGCAATAAATAAGCATCATTTTCTAGCCTCAGTTCTGCTGATTATCTGATCGTGAGGGAGGTTTCTTCCATTGTGGTGTGATTACTATTTTTCTCTTTCCTATTATCTACTGAGATCACTCAAACCAATCCTCTGTCAGTGTAAGATTCAGTAAATCATCTTCAATAGACGAACATCCAGCCTCTGATTGAAGACTTTCAGCAAAGGAAAATCAACATATTGGTAGACTTCACAAGGTGATCACTTGTACAGTCAGAAGTTATTTCTGATATCTATCCTGACCATACTTTGTAGTTTTAATCATTGATTCTGGTTCTGTGTTCTGGGCAGTGGAGAATTAATCCATTCTCTTTTGTATTTGACAACTGTTCAGATACCTGGAGACTGCTATCGTATTTCCTTTCAGTTTTCTGAAAACATACCCATTGTTTCTTATAGGACATAGCTTCTAATCTAGACACTTCACCTTCTTGATAGCCCTCTTCTGAACTTGTTCCAGTTTGTCACTGCTGTTTCTGAACTATTGTGACCAAAACTAGGCACAATATTTCAAACTCTGCTCTGAACAGAGTAGACAAGAACAGTGACATCTTGTGGTGTGGACTCTATATTCCTGTTAGTGCCGCCCACTTATTTTTAGCAGCTACATTAAGTTGCTAGTTTGAAGTTCATAAGAACACTCAGGCTCTTTTCATATATATACCACCGAGTTTAGTCTCCCCTATCTGATATTTGTGCCTTTAATTTTTTCTACTGAAACGCATAACTTTATATTTTTCATAGTTAAATTCTGTCCTATTCATTTCAGCTCACTGTTGAAGTCTTGTAAAACGTTTAAAATCCTCTCTTTTCCCACTTCACCCAGCTTTGTGTAATTTGCAAACTTTATAAGTATCTCCTCAACTCCCTCACCCAAGTCAATGATAAAACTATTGAGTAACACGCATCCCAGTAGAGCTTATGGTGCTTCATTTGATATTTCCTACCAAGCTGGAACATTGCAGGCTTTTTTTGGCTGAAATCATTCAGGCACTTATGAGTATGCAGGTTCCAATCCAAAGTGCGTATAGTCAAGGCTATGGTTTTCCCAGTTGCAATGTATGGCTGTGAAAGTTGGACCATAAGTAAGGCTGAGCATCAAAGAATTGAGGCCTTTGAACTATGGTGCTGGAGAAGACTCCTGCGAGTCCCTTGGACTGCAAGGCGAACAAATGGGTCAGTCCTAGAGGAGATCAACCCTGACTGCTCTTTGGAAGGCCAAATCCTGAAGATGAAACTCAAATACTTTGACCACCTAATGAGAAGGAAGGACTCACTGGAGAAGAGCTTAATGCTGAGAAAGATTGAGGGCCAGAGAAGAATGGGATGGCAGAGAATGAGGTGGCTGGATGGAGTCACTGAAGCAGTTGGCAGGAGCTTAAATGGTCTCCAGGGGATGGTAGAGGACAGGAAGGCCTGGAGGAACATTGTCCATTGGGTCGCAATGGGTCGGACACGATTTCACAACTAACAACAACAAGGTTCCAATCTGGGTCGGTCACCAGGACCAGAGGTTTTCTCTTCCAAGCTTTTGGACTCATGCTGGAGCCCATCCTTAGAGGAACTTCTCTCTGGCAGAGTGTAACATTTATTTTTGCCTTCATTTTGAGTTATGAGTATATCCTTCACCTTCATTTGTGAGTTATGATATATCTCATAGTATCACTATTATTTTACCATATTAAAAAGGATAATTTAATGACAAATTTTTGTCAACCGTCTTTCCCCCAATCAATTAGTCAAAGAAAGGATGATGATTTGTTTGTGATGGGCCCATACTGGCTCCTGTTGATTATAGCAATAGCATATCTATCCAGGGTGTTCACAAGTACGATGCTTGATGATCTGTTCAAAGGCCTTGCCCATTCTTGTCATCGAGCTGACCAAGTCCCAGTTCCCCTTCCCCTTTTAAAGATGGGTATGACATTTGCTGTCCTCCAGTTTTTGGGGATATCCAAAGAGTAATTCAGGGAATATCTTTACTATTATTTTTTTTTAGTATCCTAGGATGTAATCCATCTAGCCTTGGAGAATTGAATTCATTTAAACTAGCTAGGTTCTCATCGTCCCTAAGCTGATGCTGCTTTTTTCCACATAATGATGATTAGTTATGGCTCCATTTAATTTCTAACAAAATATAAACACAGAGGAGGAGTTTAAAATTTCTGTCTCTTCACCATTTCTCATTATCAGTCAACGTTTTTCCTTAAAATAGATTTACAACTCCCTTGCCTTTTTTGTATGTTTTCAATTACACAAAGAACCCTGACACAATTTCTCAGTTTGGGAAACTGAGCCTGAGGGGTGGGATCATCAATCTGAATCCCTATGCCCTCAAAAGACACTTAAGTCCAACCACACATACCCCTCTAAGTCTGTTGAGTCTTATCTGGTACCAATTCACATTGATAGTTATTTAGATTCTTGTGTATAGGTTGCATGGAATAAACTTTCAGTGCTTTTGAACTCTTATCCCAGTTCCTGGTTTCTTCTGCCTGACAATAAAGTTTTGTATTCTTTGTATTCTTCTTTAGTTATGTGCAGTGGTGGGATTCAAATAATTTAACAACCGGTTCTCTGCCCTAATGACCGGCTGTGTGGGTGTGGCCATGGTGGCATGGCCAGGGGGTGTGACAGCGCTCCGCCTCCTGCACCCCCCTGGGAGCAAAAACGGGATGCGGGGGGGACGCACTGCCCCCCCTGTGCCCCATTTTGGGGCTAGTAGGCCTCCCTGTGGCCTCCTGGGAGCAAAAATGGGCTTTTGTATTGCATTATTTGTCTTTAGGACAATTTATGTATATTTTTCTCTCTCTTTTTTTTTAAGGTGCAGTTACAATGTATACAAAATATTTAATTGTAAAGAAACAAAATGATGTGACACATTTTGTTTCCCCTTGTTTCAATTTATTGACATTGTACGTTGGAATTCTGGGCTGTGTTGGATTGGGCATTGTTGCCAGTTTTCAGGTAAGTAAGAAAGAGATGTTTATATTTTATTTATTAAATTTATATTCCATTTCTCCTTCAATGGCTTTGATGTCTTAAAAGAATGATTAAGAATATTACATGAGCTTTAAATGCATTCATATGACCAGCCTTTTAAAATAACTTAGTACGTATCAAGAGAGAATCAGAGAAATATGCAAGTAGTCCTTGACCTACAACAGTTCATTTAGTGACCATTCCAAGTTACGTCAGTGAAAAAAGTGACTTACGATCACTTTTCACACTTATGACCATTGCAACATCCCCTGGTTACATGATCCAAGTTTGGATGCTTGTCAATTGATTTATATTTATGATGGTTGCAGTGTCCTGGGATCATCTGATCACCTTTTGCGATTTTCTGACAAGCAAAATTAATGGAAATGCCAGATTCACTTAACAACCATCTTACTAACTTAACTGCAGTGATTCATTTAATAGCTGTGGCAAGAAAGGTCATAAAATGGGGCAGAATTCATTTAGCAACTGTCTCACTTAGCAGCAGAAATTTTGGGTTCAATTGTGGTTGTAACCAGAGGATTACCTGTAAGTTATTCCCTTTTCCAGAGAAAGCATCAACTTACAAATTTCTATCAGAAGAATCGGTGCAAATACAACAAACTAGTAGTTCCTGCAATGTGGTTACCTAGGTGGTAACTTGAGGCTGTCCTATAGTCTAGAACTGATTGCAATCAGATGCTCAGTTCACTAGAGGCAATGAGTACCTGTTCAGCAGATACTTCCCTCTAAACATGCCCTTCAAACAAAGACAACATTGAGATCATGAGATATCAAGATACATTTATCCTTCGTTTCATTTGCTCTTAGCTTAATGCCATAATAATGCCTTTCCTAAATGTCTATGGAGATTCTCAGTCATCCAGGTCATCGTTGTCCCAAAGGTGTATTTTCAAGAGGCAACTGGACTTTCTGGTTTTTCTTTGAAGATGTTTCGCTTCTCATCCAAGAACCTTTTTTTTTCTTCTTCTGGAAGAGCTGAACAAGCTTCTTGGATGAGAAGCGAAATGTCTTCAAAGAAAAAACAAAGTCCAGTTGCCTTTTGAAAAACCACCTTTGGGACAATGCCTTTCCTAAATAATTAAAACTACAATAGATATGCATATTATGCAAAACAGAATTCCAGATATGCATGTTACCGATAATTTTTTTGTCCTAGACATTGTTCTTCTCAAACATGGTCTCTTCTGATGATCTGTGGAAATAAATGAAAGAAATTATTTTGAAACTATGATCCATCATTAAATAATATTGAATTAGATGGAATTTTTGATACCCAATATATACTTGGATATTTGGTATACTTGTGGGAAGAAATGGTATTGCTTGCTAATTCTCCAAATCCGCTTGAGATAGTTGAGGGACCTTCTGAAACAGATTTAAGATTAAGCAAGGGGAGTATAAAACTGGAAAGATTACATAATACATAATTTGCAGACAGTTTGATGTAGCTTGGTGAATGGCAAATCGGATCAGTGTATGATTTTATGGCTTGGAATCTAAGTAAATTTGAGATAGCAATAATGAAACTACATCCACGAAGTCATATAATCGTAAATTCTGTCTTACTCATTTCAAGATTATAGATACGTTATTTATTAGACTCATGGGGCCAATTTAACATGGGTTACGAAGAAGACAAGTTACACTTGGATTGAGTTGACATTTAAGTAGGATGACAATGATATTGTTATAGTTGACAATGATATTGTTCTTGTTGAACTGTCTTCAACCGCAAACTATGAACTATGTGTCAGCCCTGGAGGACATCTTTTTCTTTGGCTCTTTGGGGCTGCCACACTTGGTGGATGGGCATGCTGTGGGAACTGAGAGGGGGGTTGGATGGCAACGGGGTGAGATGTATAGCCATAACAACATTCTTTCACTGGGGGTCATTGACATTCAGCCTGCACCTGGAAAGGCGTCACTGGAAAACAACTCCAGTTAGGATGGTGACCTGATTGGATCATGTGATGGGCACGTGGGTGCAGGGGAAGGGACTTTTGACTTTCCTTTGGGTGGGGAAAACCCGGGAGGCTTCAGATTCGGGTTTTCCTAGATGTGCCAATATGACATCTCTAATAAAATGGAACTTTGAGGAAATGCCTGCCTCGGAGTCTTACTTGATTGGGGGTGTTACTTGGAACCCTGACACTATGTTATGAAATCATTCACAAAATATGACATAAACAAAAATGAGCTTTCAATAAATAAAAGCAAGAATAAAGGAAACATCTGTGCATAAAACGATAGTCAATGTATCTGCAGTTAACATTAGTATAAACTGAGTAAGATCTTTCTCGTGTCCTCCCAATTTCCCCAACCACTCCCTAGTAATCAAGGTGGGGTTTTTTTTATAAGTCAGTGGTATGTATTAGAAAAATCTGTCCCGTTCATAAATTACCATACAGGTAGTCAACCCTAATTGGTATCCATTGCTAAGTGCAGCAGTTGTTAGGTGAAGTACCGTGTGACTGCAGTGTGTACCAACAATTGTTTTGGAAGTCCCGGTTGTGGTTGTTATATACAAGATCTGCACTGTCATTAGAGAAAGTCCTCACACTTCACCTGCTTTGTGTGAACTGCCAACTCCATCTCACTGCCTTCTTCCCACCTGGGTTCAGGGAGCTCCCTTCAGCAGATGTGGCTCCACTGCCCCGCCCTACTTGCCCCTTCTTCAATTCCCCCATCTCCCCATTCCCGTATCTCCCCCCCATTTCTGCCCTTTCAGATGCCCTATACTTTGTCACCACTGCCCACTCCTGCTGTCCCCAGCTGACCAACATCATTGTTCACTGCTGCTGAGGGGTGCCTAGCCAAGGCAGCAGATGGCCTTCATGAGGCCTCCACAATGGCTCTGAAGGGCCAGCAGCTGCCTTGGTCAGGCATGCCTCACTGCAGGAGGAGGAAGATAGTGCAGGTCAGCAAGAGATGGCAGGGGCGACGGAAAGCAGAGCAGCCCAAAGGGCAGAGATGTGGGGGAGACCGGTGTGTAGGGCGAAGTTGAAGCTCACCATGCTGTTTTAAATGCAAATACGTTGCCAAGTACCTGAATTTTGATCACATGATGGCAAGGCTTTGCAGCAGCCGTAACTTTGCAGACTGGTTGTAACTACCATGGCTTATGATCTGTATTTGTATTTACAACCGTCGCTCTACCCTCACAACCACATGTTTGCAATTGGAATGCTTGACAACTGGCTCGTATTTACGACTGATAGCAGTACCCTGTGGTCACCAATTGTGATTTGTGACCTTTTTTTGCTGATTTCCAACATAAAATGCCCATTGGGGATTTGCCTAATGACCTCAGTATTCACTTAACCACTGCATGATTCACTATAAAAATTGTCATAAAATAGGGTCCATCTCAGCTTATTATTAAAACAGCTTATAGAAATATTGGTTGTAATTGTTGTCGTAAATCGAGGACTACTGTATATTAGGTTGTTAAATAACCAAAAGACCTTTCTAGTACTGCTTATTTGACTACACTTATTTTCTCCCTGATTATAGCCTCTTCTGTACATTGATTGCAACTCTAATAATATACAATGCTTTTCAATTGTCTTTTCAGGAGTTAGCAGTTCCTGCTGTCCATGATGGGGGAGCTCTTTTGGCTTTTGTCTCTGGTGCTCTCTACATTTTTCTTCAGACAGTTATCTCTTACAAATCATGTCCGCAATGGAGCACCCCGTGTGTATGTCACACAAGATTATTCCTCTCCATAATGACTTGGGTAGCTGTCATTCCCAGTATCCTTTTTACAGGATATTAATATGTCAAAGTTGTTAACAATACAAGCACCACAGTTTTAAGTCAGTTTACTATTTCTGTATTCAGTTTTACAGTGTTTCCTGAAAGGGACAAAATTGTACAGTTCATAACATGCACGTCTGACATATAAGCTCTGCTTATAAAACAGTGAGACATTGGGAGAGACGCACTAGACATACTGGTAAGAAGATACCCAGATGTATAGCATGTACCAGCTATGTTAAAAACCATTTTCAAGATATACAGACAGTCCTTGAGATACGACTGTCATGGAGCCTCCCCATTATGGTCACATGTTGCAATAGTATTAAATGAACCATGTCCCATACATCCCCAGTGCAATTGTTAAATGAGCGTGTGGGTGATTAAATGGAGCACTGGGTGCCTCATAAATGGAGGAGGTCCTCAGAGGCCTAGTGCAGGCCCAGGCCTGCCTGCCTGGGCCTCTCCCACCAGTGGTGGGATTCAAAAATTTTTACTACCGGTTTTGTGGGCGTGGCTTGGTGGGCATAGCAGGGGAAGGATACTGTAAAATCTTCATTCCCACCCCAGTCCAGGGGAAGAATACTGTAAAATCTCCATTCCCTCCCCACTCCAGGGGAAGGTTACTGCAAAATCCCCATTTCCTCCCAATCAGCTGGGACTTGGGAGGCAGCGAATAGATGGGGGCAGGGCCAGTCAGAAGTGGTATTTACCGGTTCTCCGAACTACTCAAAATTTCCACTATCGGTTCTCCAGAACTGGTCAGAACCTGCTGAATACCACCTCTGTCCCCCACCCCAGAGGCACCCAGCGCTCTGCTTCCTGTCCCTGGGAGTTCCCCAGGCCTCAGCCTGCTCCCAAGCTGGCCATTCAGCCAGGCAAGGGAGCTTAAAGCTGGCACACAGAGGACGCTTACGGTCTGTAAGCCAAGACCTGCCTCCCATCCAGCTACCCAATGGACCTGCTCCTCACCCAGCTCCAGGGCCCAGCAGTACCAACTTAACTTCTCATTTTTTGCAGAGGTGCCTGGCCAATGCAATGAGATGCGAGGCTCAACTTAGATTTCTTGCAGAGGCTTGTCAGCCCTTGTGCTATTCTCCTAGCAAATAGTACTTTTTTCTTTCAGAAGGCTCCACAAACTAGGGAGCCTCTTTATAAAAAACCCCAGAGCCTCCTATAGGGAGAAGTACTCCTTGCTAGGAGAATAGCACAAGGTTGCCATGAGGTTGGAGCCTGAGCTTTGCATTGGCCTGGCTTTTCTGCAAAAACCAAAAAGATAAAAGTGAGCTTTATCTTAAAAATTAAAATACTCATTCTCGAAACTGAAATTAGGAATGTATACCCAAACCAAGAGATTTCAGAATCTAAGGAAACTTTACATTCATTGCTTCTTCATATTGAGTGGGCTTGCTAACATGCCCATGCACAATGGTTATTGTATACAGTCAGAAATCATAAGTTTATAATTCTGTTATCAGACATCAGTTCTGCCTTCATGTACATGTGCCATTATTACTATTTCTATTCCCCGTTTGATTAATGATACATTCCTTTCATTATTTCATGTGTTATGTACTGTATATCGGTAAAAGGAAACTGTAATTTTATATGTTTTTTAAAATCACTTGTTTGCTCTTAACTCCTTTTTCTCAGTGATTGCATGTGCTTCATTAATATCCATTACAAAAATAGATTGGAATCCAGGTGAAAAGGTAAACATATACTAGGTAAAAAATTAATATATCTACCCATTCAGTGCAGTTTAACTTTTATGTCATAGGTGTTTTTTTTACTAAAATACTTAAGGAAACAGATAACCAGAGCTGCTGTTTTTGCATGTTGCTAATACTGTATACGAGGTTGTGACATGTTTTAAATTTTAAGGTTTGCCTAGATAGATATGTGTAGGCTTTTAAACTCTGTGCTTTTTGATTCTTAACTCAGTGATGTTTAACTTTCTGTAAATATAGGTCACCTGAGATATATTTGGTCAGAGTCTTAGATTTGCTAATAAATTACTCCTATCTCATGGATTTTGTTATAAGAAAATTAAGAGTTGTAGCTAGAGACTAAAAGATACAGAGAAGTTTGGAACACTAAAACCATTTTAGGGAGCAAGGCCTTTAGAAATATTATGGAAAATAAGAAATCAGTAGGGGTATTAAATGATGAATCTATGCTTAGCTTCAATAAATGCGTAAATTAAAAATACATTTGTAGATGAATTAAAACTATTGAGTCTTAACTCTTGTTCAGCTTTTTTCTTGGCTGAAAATTAGTTGTGCTCCATTCTCCTCTTCCAAATTTGCTTTTTAAAAAAATCCCACATAAAAATCTAGATATTTCATCTATATTAAGATATAGATGAGGCATTATCCTTTTTTGTACACATTTTTCTTTGGTATACAACATTTTAAATATTGTAGGGTTTTTTAAATTACAAAACCAAGACCTACATTGTTAAATTCTGAAAAGTGCAGTTTTCAATGTGCAAGTGCATTCTGGTTCACATATAGATTTGAGAACTATGAAATTATTATTTTTTTTGTAAAAGTTCAAACAAAACAAATGTCTCCTGTGTAAAGACTTGCACTTGGAGAATTGAGGTTTGTGTAAATTCTCCTTTCAGAATAATCCATGGCTATTTGCCTCTCACCCAAAGGCCAGGAATGGAAGGTTGTCAGTCTAATATTCAGAACAAAAGGACAGTTTGCTCGAACTACTCGCAAATCTGAGCTCTGACCAGGTATGCCTCATGCAACCTATATTGATAGAAATTATCTCTCTCTCTTTAAAAGAATTATTGCCTTTTTGCTCTGAAGATATATCCATGCACACGCATACATGCATCCTTAAAATAATATACCGTATTTTTCGGAGTATAAGACACACCGGACTATAAGATGCACCTACCTTTTTTGGTGAGGAAAATAAGAAAAAGAAATCTGCCTCTGCCTCCCAGCAATTTTGCCTCTGCAGCAAACAGCAGTCTGCTTTATTTTCATTTTCGTTTTCAGCATAGCGTGATTAGCACAAGGAAAAAAAAATCTGCTCCAGCAATTTACCTCCTTGCAGCAAGCAGCAGAGGCCAGCGCAAAACAGCTGAGAGCAAAACAGCTGAGAGTCGGGAGGCCGATCCAATCAACTTGTGCTAATTAGGCTGTGCTGAAGCTGAAAGCTGTTTCTTCCTGCTGTTTGCTGCAAGGAGGTAACTGCTGGGAGGCAGAGGCCAAAGGGTGAGGGCCAGTGGGTGGACGGGACTACATTCGGTGTATAAAATGCACCTATGGGTAATCTTAGTCTGGCAGATGATTTGGGTAATCTAGTTTGGCAGATGATTTGGGATTATTCCTCCTAGAATTTTCTCTCTGATTGGTGAAAAGTGAAATATTCCTTTACAGCTGTATAATATCTCAGCAACTATTAGTAGTATTGTCGATATTAATGTTCTTTTAATTTATTTTTAACAGTAATTATGGTTGTCCTATTTATCTTTTAGTTGCCCAGAGTCAGTGTCACTTATAACCTTATAGGGCCAGTTTGGTGCAGTGGTTAAAGGCATCAGGCCAGGGAGTGGGAGACTGTGAGTTCTAATCCCGCCTTAGGCACAATTTTGTGACCCTGGGCCAGTCATGCTCTCTCAGCCTTAGGAAGCAGGCAATGGCAAACCACTTTCTAAGCCTTGCCAACAAGAAAACTGCAGGGACTTGTACAGGCAATCTCCAGGAGTCAACAAATGCCTTAAAGGCAAAATAATAATAATAATAATAAATCTATGTAATAAATGAATGAAATAATAAGTCAACTCAGAATGAAATGCATACTGTCATGTACATGAATAAGCATCAGAATACAGGACAAATACATTACTTTCTCATTATATTTGGGCATTGGGTGTATGTATATATATATATATGTGTGTGTATGTGTGTCAACATTTCCTTGTGTGAAACACTTTTGTTTCTGGGACACAAAATCTAATCAATATACCCATTTTAACAACGCTCATTGTTGTTTACAGAACATCATTAAAAACCCATGCCATGGCAAAATCTTCCTTTCCTTCTTCTATTATAGTGTACAAAGCAAACCTTATATCAACTTATAAATCTCCATAAAACTCTCAACTGGAGCCCTTTATTGGGGCCCTCTTGCCTGTTTGACCAATCCATTGCTATTCATTTCATCCTAACAGATTTGGTAAACACCAAAGAAGGTGCTTACCTAGCTTCTAGGAAAATACAACAATTTTTCAAGCTTGTTTTTTTCCCCATTTTAAAAATCTTGCCATAGAAAACATTGTCGTGAAGTCAAGAACTCACATTTCAGGTTTTTTAAAAAAACATAACTGAAATAATTCAAATAATAATAACTCGAGAGCAATGATTCTCAAGAAAATAGCACTTGCAATAGCACTTATATTCTGCTCCATAGTGCTTTATAGCACTCTCTGAGAGGTTTACAGAGACAGCATATTGTCCCCTGACAGTTGGGGTCCTCATTTTACCGACCTCGGAAGAATGGAAGGCTGAGTCAACCTTGAGTCGTTCAGAATCGAACTCCAGACTGTGGGCAGAGTTAGCCTGGAATACTGCATTCTAACCAGTGGGCCACGAGGGCGCCAATATTTGTCATACCTTGTATGAGTGCTTGTAGAAGCTTAGTAATGAAAAATGATCCAGATATAGAGTGTTTTATATTTTAATGTTAGGTTTTCATCAGAGATAAGTCACGTACAAAATGTATAAGTGCTAAGTGTACTGAAATTCAGTAAATCAGTTAGATTGTTTTCATTTGATTATAGCAGTGCTTGATGTAACAGGGGCTTCTGTCAGTAAAATAGAGAAAGAGGCAGGCTTCAAAGTTTCTCCTCTTCCCAAATCTCTTTAAGATTGGGGGACCATCTTCCAGAACATGGAAGATGCAGGAAGAGGGCAATTACTGACAATTACATCCTTTTTCCACTGATGAGGCTTCTGCTGAATCAAAGAACCTCCTGCCTATGAAGGGACACTAATTGGATGCAATTTTAAATCAATCAGTATTTTTCTACCACACTGTCCATCTGGTATATAGTTATTTGCTCTCTCTATACTTGACTCACCTTTTGCTTGCCATTGCAAACAGTGTAATGGCTCTGTTTAATGTGTTTTTATGTATATATTCCTTCCATTAGGATTATGTGTACCATTTTGTAAGTGCAATCTGCGAATGGACAGTAGCCTTCAGCTTCGTGTTCTTCTTCTTAACGTATATCAGAGACTTTCAGGTAAGCGTGCCCGACTATCAGAGTGGCAAAATTCACTCAAGTAATTCGTGTAGTAAGGGATTTGCAACAGGGGTGAACTTCACTTACCTTCCCTACTGGTTCGCAAATGTGTGCGCGCCGCGCGCATGCTTGCTTTGCTTGCGTGCAGTAGCATCCATGCATTCGCAAAGCCTTCTACGCATGCACAGAGACTTAAAATCATCGCAAAAAAGCAGCAACATGACACCGGCGCGGGTGGGCGGAGCCTCCCGCAGCTACCGCTTCGCCCGAGCCGGATAGAACCGGCTGAATTTCACCCCTGATTTGCAACCAAGTAAGCCTGGTTGCAAACCCCTCACGGCCCACAGGTTGCAGACCCCTGGTGTAGCCTCTTTATAGAGAGACTGATAGTTGCAAATTGCATCTCTGAGTACCTGTCTGAGTTGAAGTCAGTGGTGGGTTCCTCCCGGTTCGGTCCGGTCGGCCGAGCCGGTAGCGGTGACGATATGATGTCACCAAACCGGTTCTCCCCCCCCACGTTATTCTTACCTTTTATTTGGTCCCACCCCCAATTTATTGCTGCCTCCTGAGTCCCAGCTGATGACTAGAGGGAAAAAAACTGTTTAAACTCTTGCCGCGGGGCTTCAAAGGTCCGTCCTACAGCTGATCAGTGTTAAAAGCAAACAAATGAGTCGGGTCATAAGTGCGAGGACTGGTCATAAGTGCGAGGACCTTCCAGAAATGACTCTGACTAGCTAGCCATGCCCACCTAGTCACATGACCTCCAAGCCACACCCACAAAATAAGCCACGCCCACAGAACCGGTAGTAAAAAAAATTAGAACCCACCTCTGGTTGAAGTCCAGTGACTAGTGTACTAGCCACTCATCTGCAAAGAATATGTGGACTTACTAGAACATGAGGTTTTTTTTTAGAGATTTTGAAAGTTGGGAGAATGGGTAAAGCCCTAACGTTTCAGAAATTTTCGAAGTTTATTTGGCCAGGAATTATTGCAGAATAGAAAGAAAGGAGGAAAGAAGCAGTGGCTGAGTTCACCTAATTCATTTAGCTTAATTTGGTTCAAGGAATAAAGCCTGAAAAATAAAATGAAGCTAAAGCTAACCAAACTACCAAGCTGTGTATATGCAGCTGTTAGATCTTGAAGTGACCTAGTTAAGTCCTCTTTCATGTCAACATTTTTTAAAAGAAATATTTCTGAAAAGTTAACAGCCATATTTAGATCTTATTAATGGTGTTAGTACAGAAATATAATTTTATGTCATTTTATTCTATTTGACATATTTATGTATTAAATTATTGTATTTTATCCTATAACGATTGTATTTTACCCTACCCTTATTTTAAATTATTTGTATAGGATTTTATTGGTAATATGTCTTTGAACCTTGTACTATGATATGGCCTATAGGCTAATCAATAAAGCTGATCTAATCTAATCTAGAAGAAATGTTTCTGAAAAGTTAACACCCATATTTAGATCTCATTAATAATATACAGAAATATATACTAGTGGGACTGTGGTGTACTACATATAGTCCTCACTTACCGACTGCCTTATTCAACAACCATTCAGTTACTATGGTCCTGTCCTTCAGTCACAAGATCATTAGTGTCAGTACGCATTGTCTTGTGCCTGACATATTGTTTTATTTCCTCTCCCCCTTGCAGAGCAGAGAGATTGGAAAGAAAGGGATTAAAAAAGAGTAAGTAGGCACACAATGGGGCAGTTTGTGTAGCATGCTCATGGCTGCCAGCATCAGAGCATTGCTTTCAATATGTATGCCCCATTGTATGCCTGCTTACTTGCTTTTAATCTGTTCCTCTCCGATAAATGTAAATACAAACATTAATTCCCTACTTGTTAAGTATCTCAATGCTGGGTGAACAAGATAGTGGTTTTGAGGCAAATTAGAGCCAGTTTCATCTAATAGCAATAGCACTTAGACTTCTATACCACTTCACAGTGCTTTACAGCCCTCTCTAAACTGTTTACAGAGTAAGCATATTGCCCCCAATAATCTGGGTCCTCATTTTACTGACCTCAGAAGGATAGAAGGCTGATGATTAAGGCATCAGGCTAGAAACTAGGAGACTATGAGTTCTAGTCCCACTTTAGGCATGAAAGCCAACTGGGTGACTTTGAACCAGTTACATTCTCTTAGCCCAACCGACCTCACAGGGTTGTTGTTTTGGGGAAAATAGAAGGAGGAAGGAGTATTAGGTATGCTGTCTGCTTAGAATTATATATAAAAATAATGAAGGCAGGGTATAAATAAATTCAAGATATGAAACTGATTAATCTTGTCAGTTATGAGCCAGCTGTCCCAGCACTGTCTAGTGGAGCATTCACGGGAAGTGGAGAAAATGAAAGCACAATCGCGATCATATGATTTCCCGCTCAGAAACTACTTTGCTTAGTGGTAGAGTTGCTGATCCCAATAATGATACCTAAATTGAGACTACCTGTATTTAGCCCTTTGCATTGGAACACACAGTTAAAGCATTTAAAATATTAGCAAATTGTTTTAACAATTCATTTCAGATTTTAGTTGCAGCTGTTTGAGGTAGTAAATGCATCTTCCCTAATTCCATACTTGGTATCTTCTGTTTACATTTAAATGTGTGCTTTGTAACGATTTGCTGATATTTGCCTTTTCTTGTAATCTTTTCTTCTAGGGAGTTACCATACAGATATCAACAGAAATTCATGGAAACCTCTGACCACTTTTTGTTACAGTTAGCTGGATTTGGGGGGGGGGATGTTATAAACCGTTGCAATGGCCAAGATTGACCTGGCATGAACCTGATGCATCACTGCTGCAAACTGTATAATCATTGTCAAGAAAAAAACGTCTTTTTAATTTTAGGCTATTAACTTTCCTGTATAACCAATCTACTAATAATCTTTTGTATTATAAATACATTTTCAGTTTTTTTTTAAAAAAATAGAGGACCTCTGAAATATGTAATCACTAAGGAATAAATGTTTATCTACTGTAATGTCTCTTTCCTTTTTATTCATTTGTTGAATAAAGATAAAGAATAAAGAAACTCAAGCTGCAATTCCAGCTACCAATTACTTGGAAGATCCCAATTGAATTCAATGGGCCTTTCTTTTAGGGCAGGGGTTCCCAACCTTTTCTATACCCCGCACCTCTAGAACACTTCTGAAATATTCTCACACCCTTTACAAAAGTAAATAATTATATGCATATAATTATGCATATACACTATAATTTTGAAACTTCTAAACCCAAGTTTTCACACCCCCTCAAGGGGTTGGGACCCCTTGTTTTAGGTCAGTGATGGCGAACCTTTTCAGCATAGAGTGCCCAAAACGGAATGCATGCGCATGCCAGAGCACTAGAAACTCAAAAGACCAACTGGCTGGTGCGCATGTGCATGCCGGCCACCTGTCTTTGGGTTTCCGGCGCATGCATGTGTGCCTGCTAGCTGGTCTTGGCGTGCACCGGAGCACCGGAAACTCGAAGACCAGGTGGCTGGCATGCGCATGTGCTCTGGCCAGCTGGTCTTCGGGTTTCCAGTGCTCTGGCACAGCAAAGATCAGTTGCCGCGCCGAAAACCAGAAGAGAAGCTGGCGATGGCATGCGTGCCCACAGAGAGGGCTCTGTGTGCCACCTCTGGCAGGTGTGCCATAGGTTTGTCATCACGGTTTTAAGTGAATGTGCTTGGAAACACATGTCAAAATGTCATGAAGTTAGAGTCTCCTCACATCTTCAGAGGGCCAAGATTGGTTCATATATTAGATATCAAAATGGCTACATCACAGATCAAAAATAGGGGCATTCTATTATGAAATCAGTACGGTTTAAGCAGTGAAAAACAGTTGGAATCTATAAATATTTATTTATGTATAATGCCCATCATGAGGAAGGATAGATTGGTTATATGGATAAATAGAACGATTTCTAGAAAGTCATATAAATGTAATTGATATTTTTATACAAAAGAAAGCCTAAAAAAAAGGATAAATCTAAGACTTGGATATGCATAAATGTGTACATAAGTAAATATGTAAAATAGGAATGTACAGAGAGAAACAGGTGAAACAGAAAACAACCACCGATGCAACAGCCTCTAGAAGTCAGTCAGTGGACTGAGTTAGTGTTGGTTTTTTCTTTTTTTTTCTTTTTTTTTGTAATGTCTTAATGTATTCATGTCTGTATGTATCTTTGTTTGGTGTTCTTGTTTAATTTATAAAACCTTAATAAAAAAAACCTATTTATTTATGTATAATGCCCACTGAGTTCAGCAGAAATTATGCCCAGGTAAGAGCAAAAAGACAGTTTGCAGAGTTTTTCTAGAAGGTACCCTGTTTTCCCCAAAATAAGACATCCGTTGATAATAAGCCCAATCAGGCTTTTGAGCGCATGGCAATAAGGCCAAGCACTTATTTCAGGGTTCAAAAAAAATATAAGACAGGGTCTTATTTTCGGGGAAACACGGTAGATAGATTTTGTTTATCATTAGTGTTACTAACTCTATTTCTTAGGGATTTTTATAAATAGAGAAGGAAAATTAGTACCTGAAAAGAAAATCTATTCTAGATAAGTGATTTTGAGCAATATTTCTTATATGCAAAATCACATTTTATTTAAAAGGTGCAAAAAAGTTATATATTGCTGCCAGACATAAAACTGAGAGGATAATAGCATACTGTAGATTGTAGAAATTGTAAATTATATCACTGTAGAAATACAGTGATATAATTATAGTTAATAGGCAGAAAAAAAATCTGCAAGAATAGGAATTCTGTGTTATTTAGTTCTGTTAAGGCCATTTAGAGACCTTTGCCTAGAGGCAAAAAAAATGTACTGCATTTTTTGGACTATAAGACACACCGGAGTATAAAATGCACCAGATTGCAAAGAGGTAAACAAGAAAAAATGTTTTTGCCCTCCCCGGCTCCCAGGAGTACTCTGCAGGCCTCCCAAACCTCTGTGCGGAGAGGGTTTGTGAGGCCTGCAAAGTGCTCCTGGGGGCTGGGGAGGGCAAAAATGCGACGGGGGGGGGGGGGGGTGGGAGACCAAAAACGGGCCTGTTTTTCGCAAAAACGGGAGCTGCAGAGCAGTAATGGGTTTCAAATCCTGGCACTACCGGTTCACTATCGGGAGCACGCGAGTGCTCAGTACTGCACATGCGCAGAGCATTTTTATGACATCAGAGCGGGTGGGCGGAGCCTCCCACTGCCACTACTACTGGTTCACCTGAACTGGGGCGAACCGGGAGCAACCCACCACTGCTGCAGAGGGCTTGGGAGGCCTGCAGAGTGCTCCTGGAGGCTGGGGAGGGCAAAAACATGACTGTTTTTGCGAAAAATGGGCCCGCTTTTGGCATCCCAAACCCCCCGTGCGTCGCATTTTTGCCCTCCCCAGCCCCCAGGAGCACTCTGCAGGCCTCCCAAACCCTTTGCAAACCCCGTTTTTGCAAAAAACAGGCCTGTTTTTGGCAAAAACGGGACACGCGGGGCAGGGTTTCGGGAGGCCAAAAATGGTGTATAAGACGTACCAACATGTCCACCCTCTTTGAGGCGGGGGAGTGCGTCTTATACTCCAAAAAGTATGGTAAATAGCATTGTAGAAAATCCATATCCCAAAGTATAATTATATATTTTTTATTAAAAGCAACCAAATGACCAAGCAAATATTTTGTTCAAGAAGCAGTATCCCAGATTTTCTTAAACTCAAGTGTCCCATCAGCTGAAGACTAGAGTTCTCCAGAACATCAAGGGCTGCATTCCAGAAGAGATGTCTAGATCCCAGTTTATGAGGCTGTAAGAATTATCTGTTATATCTTTCTAATATCATATACATCACAAATGAAATTTTACTCATTTCTGTATGATCTAGTGATCATAGTAGAGATTTCTGGCAGTTGAAGTCCATAGATCCTAAAGTCACCAAGTTCAAAAAACATTTTGCTGGAGCAATTACTGTCTGTCCTCTGATCTCAGAAGTAATTCTGGCAGAATATTGTGCTTAACCTTTCTGCCGAGTTTAAAAAAGTAGATCATCTATATACTCCTAGCATAGGAGATCTAAACAGGTTTTTCCCAATAAAGCCCAACAATCTAAGCCATCAGGTTGGTTCAGCTGTAAGTACTGTCTGTACTAGACATTATTTTTATTTTGGCAAGCATGTTAATACAGTTGTATTTTTCACATAGGAAGCATCTAATAAAGGTCGCATGCATGTTTAAAGAAATCTGTTGAAAGGAGAATATTCCCTTTTGTCTGGCATCCCTTTGCTTTGTAGATCACTGCCACTATACTTATTGGCCGGCTCATATTATATTTCAGAATTCTGAATTGAATTTGGGAGTTTGCACTGTAATCCTGATTAGATATTTCCAGTGGCAAATTTGAATGTTTATCTATCCAAGAATGCTCTCTCTATGTTAGAGAAGGAGGTACGTTCTTCTCTTGCACATTAAGGTAATGTGAAGTAGATCATTCATGTATGGTTCTTAATCCACAAGAAGAGTGCATGTAAGGCACAAGAGTCCTTATGGATTTTATTCTTCTAGTTGTTGCTGACTGTAGGGGGCAGTGCTCATCTCTGTCTCAGCGCTAGTCAAAGACATTTCTGCGGTCATGTGTCCAGCATTACGTCCCAGAGCACTGTTAACCTTCCCACCTAAGTGGTATCTATTTATCTACTTGCATTTGCATGCTTTCAAACTGCTAGGTTGGCAAGGAGCTGGGTGGAGGACAGGAGCTCACCCTGTCATATAGCGCTTGGGTCCTGAACCTAAGTTACCAGCTTTCTAGCCAACAAGCCCAGCATTTTAACACTAAACCACTGTGCCACCCTGCTATATGCACATAGGAAAGAATAATTGCTTCCTGATTTCTATTACATAGTAATGAATGGAGGGAGTTTGAATGAAATGCCATTTTTTGGGGAGCAAGAAATTTAAAAGCCACACACCATTTTATCATGCAATATAATTAATTAAAATAAAATATATGGAAATTGAAGATTTACGAAACTAAAAGCTTTGTTTGAAAAGGCGATGTACCCGTAATACACACACACACAAATTCCCTTCTCACCACTATCTAGCTTCTATATTCTCTCTTATCTCTTATCCATCTGTCTGCTTGTCTATCACCATCCATCCATGTAGAGATTCCAGGTGCTAAATTTTTAATATTCTCCCTACTGCACAGTAGATGGCACTAATGGACTGCAGTCATAATGCTTAATAACATAAGTTCTTGAATAAGAAAGATTCTGGGGAATGTCCTGGGAAAAAATACATGTGCGGGCAATTTGAATTTTTATCAAAAAACCACCCACAAGACATTTTCCTGGATGACTTGGGAAAAGCAACAACTAACTTGAATCTACAGAAATTAATGTTGCTTTCAAATGGAATTACAGTCCTATTTCTCTAGTCTAAATCTCTTCTGTAAAAAAAAACAAACCAATTTTTGTGAAGAAGCAGTTATTCACCCGGCCACATAGAAAGTGCTTCCCCCAGCTACCCTGTTTCCCTGAAAATAAGACCCAACTGGAAAATAAACTCTAGCATGATTTTTCAGGATGCTTGTAATATAAGTCCAACCCCCAAAATAAGCCCCAGTTAAGATGCATCAGACAGATGCAATTAGTACCATATTTCCCCAAAAATAAGACCTAACCGGAAAATAAGCCCTAATGCAACTTTTGGAGCAAAAAATAATATAAGACCCGGTCTTATTTTCAGAGAAACATGGTACATTAAAATTCTGTTCGGAAATATACTATGATGAAGACGGGCTTTAAAAATATAATCAGGCCAAATATAATCAGCTTTCCCAGTAGCACACCAAAATTTGAGGGCACCTTTGCTTAGAAACACCCGGCCCTGGACATAAAAGTTTTGGATATTTACTTCAGCAAAATTCTCTTCAACTTCAACAATTGTTAAGATGTGTGTGGACTTTCAACTCACAGAATTCCCCAGCCAGCCTCTGCATATACATTATGTTGTA